GTGTCCTCACTACCCTGCAGCACCTTCTGCTCCAAGCAGAAAACACATCTTATTAGATAATAATACTTTGCACATACTTTGTCTTCTGGAGAGGAGACTAGACAACAAACAGAAGCAGTTTGCAATGCGTAACATTTTTACAGCACACAGACGACACTGCAGAATGTAGGTTAAGTCTATTTGTACACAGACTGGATTATACTGGAACTGAACAAAATAATGTCTGAATGTGTGGCTCTTATTTAAAGTCATTCACACTGCAATATACCAATGACCCAATAGTCTAATTATACACGGAGGATGAATAAAAGTAAGAAATAAATGCAGAAAGGAAAGATATTGTGGTCACAGGTTCCAGTCTGCTACCTATACTGTCCTCACACTGAACAATCATAAGGCATGCTAAGCAAAGGAAAGAATTATCACCACTATTTCACATGTGGAGAACTCTAGCACATAATGACTGTATTTCTTGCCCTTGTTTGCACACATACAGAATTTGGCTGTCAGAGACTGAACCTTTCTTCCTATGTATCTGACAAATGTCTTAAATAAACCACTCTTTCTACAAGACTTCTGCATGAACAGTGATACAGCATTATCTAGTGCAATAAGCCAGGGCTGCTTACCACTCCTACCATTTTCCATCATAGCTGTTTTTCTAAGTGCAAACACTAGGAAGGAAACTTCTCTATCACTTTTCTTACTATTTCACATGAACACTTCTCACACATGGCCAGGTGTCTGGGCTGCCATCTCCACTTGTGTATATAAGTGCAGTGGGATAAAGCCATTCATTTCAGCAAGCCCAATTACAACTGTCAATCTGAGGTTACATCCCAGAGGATATCAGTGGTAATCTCTTCAAATTAATAGATGATTTTTTTACTTCTATGAATCAGCTTGTCACTGTTTGACTTCTTACAGTGTTATTCAATCACTTTAATCACTTCCACTATCATTTCATATTCCCTGCCTGGGAGAGAAGCATACAGACTATTTTCAATCATAGCTCCACTATTTTGCAAATTCTTATGGAAGGGAAATTTGCAACTTAAGAGAAGAAACACCAAATGAAGCATGATGGTCACTACCAAAACTGTTTTCCTGCCACATATTAACCTCAAAGCTTCATCCTTGTGATGACATGAAGTTAGAGCCATCTCTCCTTACAGTAAGATTAGAAAGGTGCACACACATGTGGCAACTGCAGTTTACTTACAGCACATAAAGCACAAAGTGCAGCACAACTAAATGTGTCTGTCCATAGCATTCACAGTCTTAGATACATTTCATGACCTTTGTCTTGGCCAGACTTAGACAGAAAATCAAGGATCACTTATCTATGTTTAACATGTCTTACCATGGCTGTTTTTTGATATTCCAACACACTTCAGTAGTCAGTGCCCCTAAATAACTGCTGAATAAATTTAGGTCATGAAAGTTGTGCTTCAAACCCATACAACAGAAGAGGGAGAAGAAAATGCTTGAGACACAGTGTAGTGAAATCTTTTGAGTATAGAGACCTGTAAGCTTTTCTTTCCTCCAGAACTGTCTTTTATCATTCTTTGATTTCCTCTAAGATCCTCAGCATATTTCTCACCTGAATTACTTCAGGTTTCTCAGCATCTGAAGTCCAGTCGTCATGCTTGCATTGAAACAAGAGCTGTGTCTTTAAAGAAGACCACTGTCTTTCTTTCTTTCAAAGGGTAATTTTCTTTTGTGTTGTTTACAATACTAAATCTTTACTTCCAGTTTCCTGACCTTCTCTATTGAAAGCTCTATTGCTTTTCTAACTAACCTTCAAATTAACAGAACTTTTTCTTCCTTTTCTTGTTTATGTATCAGTTTCATTATTGCTGTCACACAGCTCTGGGGACAGAGCTAATTAACAGCTGTATCTCCAGTGCTGCAAGTACAATTGCACTACATTCTCCCCTAGAATACAAGTATGTAATTCCTGCTGATGATGCACTGAGTCACTTTCATCTAGCACTAAGGATGGTAATGGCTTATAGAAGGCAACATTTGATTCTTAGGATCACAAAGTCATTTCCAATTTGGTAGAAAGCAGCACTGCAAGAATAGAAACAGAGAAGCCCGAGGAACCAAGCAATGTGTCCCATTCATAGCGGCCAGTTTCAGAGGGCAGAATTGATCCACTGTGTATCTATTTATCCCTCCTTTGGTCAACATGGAAGAAAATATAATGTACAGTTCAAATTTGTATCTGATAAATACCATCTTACCCATTTCCAATACATTTGGCTTATCCTGAGTTAAAGCAGGTATATATTTGTTTTTCTGATTCCTCACTTCAGAGAAAGCATCCCACTCATTTCACATAAGTGAAAGATGTATGAGTTTGGCCTGGAAAGCCAATGGCTGAGAAAGCAGCAGTCATGCCCACTGCCTTGCTAGGGACAGTGCTGTCAATCTGAACAAAAGCAACAAACAGTAAAAACTTAAGGTCAAAGACTGTCTTATAAATGTCCTTCTGGTTTCCCTGGCAATTATTCCTTTGTAACTCAGAAAAGATTGCAGGTGTGTTTTTAAAGGGAAAAGGTTGCTGCCTATTTGTCATGTTTTTCCTCTTCATATTGCAGTTTTGCCATTGGAAATAAAGGCTGTGTGATCAGCAGTTGCTTTCTCTATATTATATTTTTCTGCACAAGAATTTGACCAACTAAATGCTGCTGCTGCTGTGTCAGCATCTGATGCAAGACTTGCAATGTGCATGTTAGTTTGTTCTTATTATTCAGTGAACTTGTGGACAATGTTGTAGCCAGTTAAACACTACTGCTGCATGCTAGAGAAATCATCTCCCTACCTGTTACACTGTTTGGAACCATTAATATCAGCCTACAGAGTTTCAAAAATGGACTGCTCTAAGGAGAAAATTTTGTACATCATCACCCATGAAAAGTAAGCTCGCAATTCAAAAAATAACAATTTATGTTAGAAGAAAAAAGAAAATAGTTTTCATTCTAAACACAAACAACGGAGACAGAGTAAAACTGGATTTAAAAAGACTCTACTCAGTTGTGATCGAGGGGAATTCTGGGTTGCAGTCTGTGTGAGGATGTCCTTTTCATCTACTTGATTACAAAATCCTCCTTAGCAAACCATGTATCACCCTGCCTAAATTTTTAAATGTCTTTCTTTTTTTTAGATTACAGACATTTTCATAGAACTTTTAAGAGAATTTCCAATTAAACAGGCTACTTAGGCTTAGGTACTATTTATTCCACACACCACCATTGAAAACCATCTTCCACTCACCCAAGAACATACTACTTACCTCAAGATTTAGTTGCTTTCATCCCTGTCACTATTATTTTTTAAATTCTTACTTGGTTAAAACCGTTCAGATGATATTACAATAATCAAGTATCTGTCCTTTTACAATGACAGAGAAGTTGCATTAACTGCAGCAGAAAGAAAATGTGATTTTGTGCAACAGGTTTCAAATTTTGGTCTTTGTCATTGCTCCTTTTTGAATGATAAATTTGCTCCTGTTGCTACGTATTTCTCTTGATTCAATGAGAGTGTTTTCTTATTGCCTTGATTAAAAATAAATAAATAAGCAATCAGTTGAGTCATCATGTTCTTACTGCCCATATGCAGTAACTTTTACCTGTGTGCAATACTTGCCATATTGTTAGATTTTCCTTGTCTTAAATCTGAATCTCCAGCATCAAGAAGTATGTGGTAGGACTATATTAAGCTTACTCAATAATCAATCAGTAATAATCAACCAGATATCCTAAGTGGGTTTTAACCTCAAAACCTCTTTGTACTTGCCTTTTCACTTCAGCTCTGGTTCTCAGTACTTTCAGACAAAGCTAATTCATCACAGACATTACAAAGATGCAATGTGTTTTGTTTTATCCTGCAGTACCCTGCAGGTAAAATAGTCTTTAATTTCTGTCTGCTCTCCTTTTTAATCAAGGAAGTATAGAACTCCTGAAATTGAGACATTATATGTATCCATTTCAGCTTCCAAAACAAAAGCAAAATGATTGAGCCTCTTTTTGGCACTTTAAAGCTCAGTTCTTCAATGTAATGAAAGAAGAAGTTGTATAGTAGCATTCACAACAGAATGGCTTTCAAAGACCACCCACCCACTGCCATATAAATAGCACAGGCACTTATTCAGGACATCTTCCTATCATTCCAGTGTCAAGCATGCAAATTCAAAGATGCTCTTTTTTTTTTTTTTTTTTTTTTGCCAAAAACCAGAACTTTTTTTTCTGTCTACCAAGCAATTATTTTGATAGAAGAACAGTGGAACTTCGCTCCATTGCAATTGATATGTTGCCTGTCAGCCAAGTAGATCTATTCTGAAAGGCATGGCCATGACAGTCTGACATGCCTTATGTTACTCTGCCTAATTTCATGTCTCCTGCAGAAACAGGCAATTTCAGCAGCTATAAAAATGATTTTAGAGGTTTCAAAATACCTTCGATATAGATATAGTTGACTCACAGAACAGTAAGAGAACTAACATGGATACACGTCATGAACGTTCATTGCCATGCCCGTTGCACCAAACATTTCCCAGTTTACAGGTTTCCTCTGTCGCCCTGATGCATTTTAAACTCCCAAGTATTGTTCTGTAAAGTACAATACTGTGAAATACGAAGCAGATCAAACTCTCTCTGTTGGACATCAATTTAACCAGCCCAAAAAACTGCTTTTTTTTTTTTTCTTTAATTTGTGCCTTCCACAACTACTGAAGAAAAAGATTATTATTCTACAGCCAGTTTATGAGAGCTACAACTATGAAAACATCAAGCAGTTTCAGATATTAATTCAGAATTAGACAGTTCATTTTTTCTCCAGTAACGTGGAAGGCATAAACCAACCCACTAATCTATTTACAAGATTGCTTTAACTACAGTTCACCTCTTAACACTTTGCAAATGGCCTCAGCAGCATTAACTCAGATGGTCTGTTGCCACAAAGAAAACAGATCTCTGCATCTCCACCCTACTCACATGGCACCGTGCGGAGGTAGAGATTGTCTCTTATGATCTGCTGGAGCTCATGGTCTACCGAACCTTTCTGGAACCGTAAATTGAGGTAGTGACGAAGGTCCTTATCGACAATGCCTCCTGTCAAGGAAGAGAAAAATGAAAGCATGATTTAAAAACGTACTGCCTTAATGGAAGCAATGAATCACTTTAAAGTCTCGGTAGCTCATTTTCCTTCATGTTTCTGTCAAGACAGATGACAGAAGCACAAAGCTTTCCAGTTCAGGCATGCAGTTGATATAATATTATTTAGTATTGGTGACGGTGTAAAGGTTAAAAACAGTTAATGACAATTGGCTAAATCTGTTCAGAAAATACAGTCAGATGTCATTTTTTTTTCCTGCACAAACTGGTAACATTATTATTATTATGTAAGTACGTGCATATATATCTACATACCACATTATCAGGTATTATGTTTCTTGGGACCATGGAACAATTTCCTACCCATTTATTATACATAAAATGTCAAAATGTCTCAGCAACGTTCAGTATTTTTTGTCAAGTGTAGCCAGAATAAAATGCAGCTGAACTAATTGTTAGCTGTAATTAATGACCATACAAACATGATAACATCCTTTGTGTTATTTATTTCCAGTAGTGCTTACATCTGAAAAAGAGACTATAGCAAACAATAGTACATATTTTAATTTCATCACTGAAAAGAGTTGTTACTAATACAATATTTTAGCACCATACTGCAAATATATGTGGAAAACAAAATTGAGATAAAGAACCCTGTATTTACCACTCTTAGCATAAGTCTAGAAAGAAACAACTTGAAGTACTGTTTAGCTAATGACTAGTGTAACTTGTTTCACTATAAAAGACATAAAAATGTCTAATCCAACATGATTAATAAACATTTCCTGATAGAATTCCTCTCCATTTCCTTTAACATGGAGTATGGATCATGTTTATAATTACAGGGGAAAAGTCTACAAATAATTGCACTTCTTCCCCCTCTGCAATACAGACATAAGAAAATATAGAAAATCTTTAAAACCCTGTGTTCTGACACATATTGCCAAGATGAGAAATTGCAATCAGATTGATATCTAACTTGTTGCTTCATAAATTTAACCTTAAAATACCTTTTGGAAATGGCATTTGCTATTGAAACACCTGCCAAAAGTCTTATCGACTTGGTCTCTGTAAAGATTTTCCCATAAAAAGGCACAGAAAAAATTCCCACCCAATTATTTGAAAGTCGCTGCAGAGTACAAAGGCTAATAAATTAAAATATATTTCTCCTTATAGCTATTACTATTTATCTCTCAATTACAAATCCGTAATCTCATTATTGCTGCTCCTTTGTCAATAACTTCAAAACGTTTTGCGCCAGGTTTATGAAAAAGCTTATAAATAATTTCTGTCATCTTTAGCTCAAGGCAAAAACAGCAGACTTTAATTAAAAATGAAAAAAAAAGAAAAAAGAAAAAAGAAGAAGAGAGCAAGAAAGAAGTCCACACCCATAACAAACATGAAGTAATACCTGTGTGCTCAGTTCCCAGGTGCTGAGAACCTTCATACAGATCTGTTTTTCCAGGATCCAGATTAAGCCACTCAGTGGTACTTTGGTACCACTAACCTTTTCTCTAGTAATGGTCTCTGTTTGCAGACCAGAGCATCCTTACTTCTGCTATGTTTTTTGTTGTTTTTTTTTCACAAGATTTCAGTGGAGGTGAATGCTAGAGGAGGCTGCACAAGCATGTTCTGCTCCTGACTGGATTTTGCTGTCCTTTCTGATCAGCTGCAGAGAGTAAAGGTCCTGCAGCTCTTGCTTGTCTTGCTCTAATATACAGAATATACCCAGTGATGCACATGCTTTCTGGCAGCCTGAAAAAATGCCAGCTCAAGAACAGCTGCAGCCTGCCCACTGACATAAACCTGAACCATTCAACTTATGACATAAGTAAGTTTAGAAGCATACACAGATATCTGACCCTCAAAGTGTGTTTTTTGTTTTGTTTCAAACATGGTTATTACTTGACCATGTCATTCCACACTGGAGTATAATAAGGTATATTTATACGAGTATTTACAAGAGGAGGTGTGTACAGACTTCTATTTGCTACAAACAAATTTAGAAATGGAAAGTTTTTAACAGAAGTAAGATCTATTGAATTATAGAACAGTTTGGGTTGGAAGGAACCTTTAAGATCATGTAGCTCCCATCCCCTCTGCTACAGGCAGGGACATCTCCCACTACACCAGGTTGCTCACAGCTCCAGACAGCCTGGCATTCAATGCTTCCAGGGTGGAGGCATCCACAACCTCACTGGGCAACCTGTTCCAGTGTCTCACCATCCTCACAGTAAATAATTTTTTTCCTAATATGTAATCGAAATCCACCCTCTTTCAGTTTCAAACCCTCATCCTGACGGTTCCCTCACCCTGTTGCTACATGCCCTTACAAAAAGTTCCTCCCCAGTTTTCCTGTAGGCCCCCTTCAGGTACTGGAAGGCTGCTCTAAAGTCTTCTTGGAGCCTTCTCTTCTCTGAGCCAAAGAGCCCCAGCTTTCAGCCCCTCAAGTGCTCCAGCCCTCTGAAGATTTGCAGATTGTGTAGGAGAAAAAACATGAACTTATCAGCTTTCTAAAATAAGTGAAACATACATTTTTTCCTTTATATCTGAGAATATACTGTAATATGAGCAAAGTCTATTTTAAAGAGCAGTCAGATGAAATATAGACAGTATCTGTACTGTCAACAAATTTCCTTCTTTAAAAGGAAATTCATTCTGTTTTCTCAGTTCTTTGGGCATAAGCTACATTCTTGTTGTATCTGGAAAAACAATGAATTTTGTATCTTGGAAAGCGTTAAAAAATAAAACCACTCCAGAGTCCTGAACAGCAGATGTAATATTTTTAATTCATTTCTCAGTTGTCACTTTTTTGATTTTCCCCTCCTAAAAACCTTTGTGCTTTACCAGATGCTTGTCAGAAGCATACTTGATTTGACTCCAGATGTGCTTTCCAGATATTTTTAATGCTCGACAGGAGCATCTGAGCAGCCAATCCTTTTAAAGTACAAGTTGAAGGAAACCTAACAACTGTAGTTTGGGGCCCTAAGCAGCTGTAGTGATTCACAAAAATACAAAATAGCCATGATTTAACAGCAGTGAAATAGATCTCAAATTAGACAGCTTAGGAATCAAGAATAACATGAGAAGGGGAGGAATAATGGGACCATGTCCTTGAAAATGTTGAAACAGAAGACTGAAAATGTTATCAGTTTGTTTGCTTTCACAGAAAAAAAAAAAAAAGAGATTTAACAGCATTGTCAATAAGTTCATAGAAAAGGAAGCAATCAGCAGCATTTTTTTACAGAAAGTAGCAGCACACCTATACTTAGTGGCACAATGTAATTCAGTTAGACAAGTGTCTGGTACCCAGGACTGATTTGATTTCTGGAAAGTTTGGCCTTCCATTACTTTCCTTTTTCGTAGTCTAAAATCATTACAATGTTCAATGCTCCTGACATGCACCTAAGCCTGCAGCTTCCTCATATTCCCTGAAGACCACAGCAGAGCACCTCAAAAGGCTCAGAGGCTGCCAGTGCCTGTAGCACTGCACCACCAGCCCCAAGGCAGCTCCACAGAGCTCACAAGGAGCTCAGAAACAGGAGCTCACAAAGGCCACATCCTGCTCGCTGTACGTCAGAGAAAGGAAGAATCCCATCACATGTCAAGGGTGTTGCACAGCACAGGTTTTCAAAATCCAACCCAGAGACCAGAATTAAAAATATTCTTTGGGCACTGTCACTGGAGGAGGCTGACAACTCCATGATGGAACATTCACAAGCTTTCAGCCATTTAGGGTTTTTGTATGTTTTTTCTTCACTTTCTTCACCAGAGGCTTCAGTTTTATTTCACTCTAACGAATCCCATTACTTGGTTAGCTAGGAAATAAACATTCCCAGTGACGGCCTCCTTCTTAAGTGCCGTCTGTTTTAGCTACCAGTCATGGTGGTAAACTTATAACGACAACTGTATCTGACAGAAAAGACCTTAAAATTGAACTAAAAAATATGCTGTGTCTGCATGTTTTACTCACAAACTTAATGAGAAATGTGCACCTTTATATAGTATTTTAATATATGTCTATCAAGTTTCCTTTCCTTTCCTTGCTGCTCAGCCCAGAGCAGAGGAGCTGAGGGGAGGCCTGATGGCGGCTGCAGCTCCTCACAGGGAGCGGAGGGGCAGCGCTGAGCTCTGCTCTGTGTGACAGCGACAGGGCCCGAGGGAACGGCATGGAGCTGCGTCAGGGGAGGGGCGGGAAAAGGGGCTCGGGAAAGGCGCTGCACCAGGGGGCGGTGGGCGCGGAACGGGCTGCCCAGGGCTGTGGGCACGGCGCGGAGCTGCTGGAGTTCAAGGAGCGTTTGGATACCGCTCTCAGACAAGGGGTTTGAAGTCTAGGTGGTCCCATGTAAAGCCGGGAGTTGGGCTCAGTAATTCTCAGGGTTCTATAAATATTCCTAGATTGAAAAATCTATGAGTAAACAAACTCTAATGTCTAGATTTGCAACCATAAAAGTCTTGTGTCTGAAAATGAAGGAAGTTAGCAGACATACCTTGTTGAAACAGCTTACACTAAAAGACTATGGGCATTCTATCTCCCTTCTCTTGCTTTACTTCCACAAAATACTGTGTTTTCAACAAGCTCCCATTTCTGGCTGCAGACAAGTGACACATACCTTCAGCCAGGTCAAATGCTTTGGCTGAAAAGCCTTTTATCAGATTCAGCATGACTGTTTGACTCGAGAGTCTCACCCCAGATATTTATTCAGGTGCTCTCAAGGAGCTTTACATTTCTAACATGATATGCCTGCATGTACATCTGACAAGTCATTTTTTCTGTTCCTTTTCAGTAAAAGTCTGAAGACATTTAGTGCATGCCAGAATAATTTCCCCTTCATTATTCACAGATGATCCAACTGACCTCTCAACCATTAGTCCAAATTATTCACTAATTATCATTAGCCCTAATGGTTTCTTTATTCATTAGCCCAAACACATTATTTAAAATGGACATGGGAATATCTGGTTTATTAGGTTTTTCCTCTACTGTTGAGAGGAAG